GATCTGACCTGGCAAATTGTATCAGTCTATGGAGATGGATGAGTACTTCATTTTTTATCTGATGTTGGGGACAGCATAAAGATGTCTGGTCCAGATTACCCAAAGGCTCAAGCATGCCACCAAAAATGTGTTAGAACTATCATCTTAATAAATAAATAATCTAATACAAAAATGTTGATTTTCTCAGTATGGGGTCTAGCAGAATAAAAAATAATTATGTTTGTTTTAACATGAGAGTTTCCTCCTGATTAATTCACAGTTTCCTACATAATAGTTATACCAATGAGACAACATTTCTATGAAGTACAACTGTCAGGCACTATAATCCCCACTATAAAGGGGGAGGAAACAGAAATACCTCATTCATTTATCCATTTATTTGATCAAACATGATGGTACAAATATACTAGTAATGTATGCCATATCAAGTCATAAAATATTTTTTAAAATAACTGAAATAAGTCTGAATGTGGAGGTCCTATTTTTCCTAAGGACAGAAAATTTAATTTAGCCAATTCCACATGCACTTCTGTTACCCACAAATCTCTCCTGTCCCCAAATCAATTCTGGTTTAAATATAATCACTTTATCATGACTCCCCCTGTTCTTCAGAGGGTATCTTTTAAATCCTTTAGGGTGGGTTAGGGTAGGGTGAGGTGGGGAGGCAGGTGCAGGGGAGATTTCCAGTTCTCAGATGCAAACACCCTTGGCTTTGGCCTTGGAAGTTAACATTCAATTTTCCATTGTGTTTGGATCACTGACCTATGTACTCAGCTCTGTCCTTCCTTATTCTGATGTCTAGGCCTTTCAACCCTCTATAGTCCTGTCTCAGCCCCTTTGAATGGTCTTTAATGCCATAAATACTAAATCTTGGACAGGTTTGGGCATATTCCTCTGGCTCTTCATGCCCAAATATTTTATGTAAACACTAGAGGCCCAGTGCACGAATTCATGCATGGGTGGGGTCCCTTGGCCTGGCTGGCGATGGGGGCCAGTCAAGGTTGGCCGGCCAGCAGGGGGAAGGGACTGAGGGAGGCTGGCCAGCTGTAGGAGGTTGGCTGTGAAAGAGCACTGACCATCAGGGGGCAGCTCATGCGTTGAGCATCTGCTCCCTGGTGGTCAGTGTGTGTCATAGCTACCGGCTGGTCGTCTGGTCGTAACAGTCGCTTAGGCTTTTATATATATAGATTCTATTCTCTGTTAGCTTATTAGAGAGAAACCTTAGGACCTTGGTTGCTTTTCTGATTCCCTAGTCACCCTAGGGATAGAGCTTAGATCTCTGTCTTCAGATTTTTTATTTTTATTGATTTTTTAGAGAGGCAGGGAGAGGGAGAGATAGAAACATTGATGAGAGAGAAACATCAATCAGTTGCCTTCTGTACATCCCCTACTGGGGATGGAGCCTGAAACCCGGGCATGTGCCCTGACCAAGAATCAAACCTTGACCTCTTGGTGCATGGGTCAATGCTCAACCACTGAGCCTCATTAGCTGGACTCTGTCTTCAAATCTTAAAACACATATGGGGTTCTAAAATTTCTATCTCCATAGGTTCTTTCAAAAGAAGCTAATCCCAGGGACTGGAGATGGGGGAGGTACAAGGCTCTTCTTGGGGATACATGCCAATACCTCTAGAGTGAGAAAATTGGTTCCCCTGTGTTTGTGGCAGATTACATTATTGTTTTACAATTAACCCCACCACTGCCATCACCACCCTGTAAGAAACATTATAATCCAAGCTCACTGCCATGTGATTTGATGACAGAGGCAGTAGAGTTCTCCATTGACTTGGGGTTTGACCATATGAAAGGCTTTGGTGAATGGGATTTGAGTGGGCATGCCTTGACACATTGGAGAAGCATATTGCAGTCCTCACATTTCCCACAGTTCTCTGGCTCTTCCCATCTGCCATGAGAATTGTCAAGTCACATATAGCGTCTGCTTCTTTAGTCTTGGACCTGGAATAAGAAGACCCATGAGTTGCCCCATAGCATGGGATCCAAGCAAGAAATAAACCTTCATGGCCATAAGCCATTGAGATTTTAGAGTTGTTTGCTTTTACAGCAAAATGAACTAATATATTGTTTGTGGTCTAATTTCTTTTTTCTTTCAGCTCTTTAGGAGCTAAACTCATGAAGTCGATATCCCAAACCAAAATGTCTGACTTATGAACTGCTGTCACTGCGATGAGCTCCATATGTCTACTAAACAAACCTTTGAGAACTGCATTCTTCTTTCTCCCCGAGGAAGGGGAGGACATGCCCTAGCTCTCTGGGAGGAGGAAAAGACTAGAGGGCATGGAAATGTGTATGTGTGTGCATGCAGAGCTATCAGGTGGGGTGGCTCAGTTAATATTTCAGATTTTTATACTAACATATAAAATGGCATAAAACAATGAAAGATAAAATTTGAAAACTCTAAGACATGTATCCTTCCTATAGTGCAGGAGTTTATAGGGCAGATGAGTCATCATCTAGGAAGATAGGTGGGATTTGAAAATGCAGGGATGGCGGGGAGAGCCTTTTGCTGCAGATGGATCTAACTCACAAAGGCAGGTAAGTGACTGGCGTGGATGCAGCCCCATAAGTAAATGTGACTGTTCTGTTCAATGTCTAAGAGACTGATGTGCTGGGAGCCGGTCCATCCTTGCTGTTTCAAGGGACCTGGCATATATGACATACTGTTCTTAATATGTTTGCTCACCTTCTTGGCACTATGTGTTTTAACCAAGGTCACCTCTCTGAGAAAGGTTGTTTCCTCAGGTAGGGATTTTCCCCTGAAGTTAGGGAGGGAATAAAACCCCTTAACTAAGTGCCAGGCGGGTAATTAATCACTTTAACTACGAACAATCATGCTTAAGCTACATAATCTTTACTCCCTGGAATGGGGATAAGAAATGCCCTAACCTTTGCAATAGAAATTGATAGGATTGGAATCAACTGGTATAAATACAGATGTAACAAGACAACAGGACACAGAACCTAGACACAGAACCTAGACACAGAACCTACACAGAACCTAGAGACAGAGGAACTTCGCTGGAGAGAACATGGCAAAAGATCCTGGACAGAAACTGGCCACAGAACCTAGAGACAGAACCCAGCGAGAGAACCTGGCTGAAGAACCTAGAGACAGAACCTGGCTACAGAACCTGGATAGAACACGGCAAGAGAACCTGACTAGAACCTGGTGACTGAACCTGGCTGGAGAACCTGGACAGAACCTGGCTGGAGAACCTAGCGAGGGAACATGGCTACAGAACCTGGCTGGAGAACCTAGCAAGAGAACATGGACACAGAACCTGGCTGGAGATCCTAACCAGAACTTCACTGGAGATCCTGAACAGAACTTGGCTAGAGATCCTGGCTAGGCTGCTGATCAACTGAACGCTGTCTCTGTGTCATTCCTTCTTCACCGACTCCGTCCACACCTTTGGGGACCCCTGGACCTGTTGGGGTTGGACCCCAACACTGATGGGAGGTCAGGTTGGAAAGGCAAGCCCATTTGTGGTCCTAGTTAAAGGGTGTGGACTGTGAAGTGGCTAAAGACAGAAAAAGGGTGGGAGAGTAGATTTCAACAGCATTTATTTATTTTTATTTTTTAAAAAATATATTTTCATTGATTTTTGAGAGGAATGGAGAGGGAGAGATGGAAACATCAATGGTGAGAGAGAATCATTGATTGGTTGCCTCCCACACGCCCCACTGGGGATTGAGCCAGCAACCTGGGCATGTCCCCCCTGGAAATCGCACCATGACCACCTGGTTCATAGGTTGGATCTCAACCACTGAGCCACGCCAGCTGAGCTGCATTTATTTTTTTTTTAAAAAACAATGTGGCCATTTTTAATTTTGATACATAAAGTCTGTATATATAAACAGTTGGAGAATCAGTTGAGAAAAATTTTGTTTTTTATCTAGGCACCATGGATTACTCTCCCCAAATGGCCTGTGGACACTAGCTGGGTGTGTATGGTTGCTAAACACTCACTGTGTTATGAAGTCATTTCTGGAAAAGTCAATCTGGTTTGTGGGTAGTCGTACAGGATGGGGTGTTTTAGCCAAAGAAACAGCCTTCATTTCCTGCAGTAGTTTGCCTATTACTAGGGTCTTTCTCGCTATACTTAGATCTCCTTGACATTTTTACTAATGATTAAAAAATAAGCACCCAACGAAGTAAACATACTGTCACTGAACTATACACTTAAAATGATAATGGTGAATTACATTTTACCACAATAAACCCCCTCCCCATCCCCAGCAAATCTTCCTATGGGATAATTTACAAATTATTAGAATTTTAGAGCTAGAATTTCCTCAGCTTATCTCTCAGTATCAATCCTGAAGGCGTCAAAGTTGACTATGAGAACATGTGACATGCTAGCGTTAGCCAATCTCTTACTGGTTTTTCCTGTCTTGCAGACTAAGTTCCAGGGGTCAGGAGAAAGCCTTCCTATTTCTTGCCCATGCTAGTGTAGGAGATAGGGCAAGTGTGTGTGTGTGTGTGCGCGCGCGCTCATGTGTGATTGGGACCACTGAGTCCGCAGCCACGCTCCTCCTTCTCCATCCTGGGGAGACGTGCAGTTTAAAGGTTCTGTTGTTGTAGTTTAAAGGGTCCTGGACCTTTGGCAGCTTTAGCCCGCAGCCCCCAGACTGAGGGCGCAGCTGGAATGAAAGCGCTTAGCATCTCAATGACAGTAGATGAAAGATGCAAAAGCTGTGCCCGGGCTTCTGGTCTGAACCAACTTTCCAGGGTCTATGATGAGCATCGCTCAGGACCTGTTCGCTGAGACCGACGGTGGGGCATGCTCCTTCTGACTCCCGCCTTGGTTCGCCGTCCCCGCCCAGAGCTCCCGGTGCACCGGTCCACCTCTCACCCCGCGCGCCTCGGTGTCTGGAGCCGCGGCGGCCGCCGCCGCCACCGCCGCCGCCGTGCTCCGCCAGGCACATGCGCAGTGGCGACGCCGGGCCGGCGCCTTCAGTCTCCTCCTCCGCCGCCTCCCGGTTCCGCAGTCACTTCCTGCAGCTGTTTCCCTGTGGGTCCGGTTGGACTGACTTTTGAGTCAGCCCTCAGCTGCGGAGAGGGCTCGGCGGGGCCAGCTGGGAAAGTTGCGCCGCGGGAGGCGGGGTTGAGCCTGACCGGCCGGGCGCGCAGGGGAGACGGCGGCGGGCGACCCGGGCGGACGCGGCGCCCAGACTCCCGGCGCGTCCGGCGGGTTCCGGTGAGTGCGGGCAATCCGGGCGACCCCGGGAGCCGGGGCACTCGGGGTCCTGCGGGCTGCGGGCTCTCCACCTGCCCGCCGCGGGAGAGGCGTGCGCTGCATTTATTTATCGGGTTGTTTTTGAGCCTCTCACGTGCTCTGTTTGGACGAGCGGGGCGTGCAGCCGCCTGGCTCTCGCGCCGGCCCCCGCCTCGTGGGAGACCGGGATTCCATCTTTCGTGATGGCATCCTTAAGGGATCGAGGTGCGTGTGTGCGCGCTCGGGTGCCTGCATGCACGGCGGGATGGAAGGTCTATGGGGGCGATGCTGAGGCATATGTAGCTTTGACTCAAATATGCCAACGGGGCCCTAGGTTGAGGCACCGTCACTGCTGAGACTGGCGAGCGTCCGCTAGTCCACCAAGGCCTCTTCTCCCCCAGGTTCTTGCGTTCTTGTGAGGCTTCCTCATAGGATGTACCTTGCCTCCGCTGATTATTTTTCTGTTTCTCTCCCAGCCCTGGCTGCGTTCTGCTGACCTCCAAAGAATGCTCACCGCCTTTCCCTCGTATCCAGAATTCCCAATTAGAGACTTTCCTAGTTTGCGGAGGTGCCAGGAACCTGTTCCTTTATACTGTGGTCTTGCCTCCGCAGCTTTCTCCAAACAATTAAGTGGTTAGCTGTGAAACGGTCTGTGAAGAGTAGGCCCCAGTCCAATCATGAGAACTATTATGTGATCATTCATTCCCCTTCTGTAAACTGGGTCCACCGGGAAGCTTTGATTTTCTTTATTGTCCCTATACCCCCTTCCAAACCGGGACATTAACTACCATAAATCCTTCATTTATGCCACCTTAAGCGTCACATTGAATGGCTTTTATGATCTGAGGAATATTTTATTTACATCAGCCATCAAGTTGGTTTCTTTTAATCGCATGCAGTAGGTTAATGGATCTGAGTCACATTGCTTTGGTCTCTCTGTAACCCACCATTCATGCTTTCACCGAAGGCTTGATTGTATTTCTTTTAGATTTATACTTTATGCTAATTTTCATTTGCCATTGTAGTAACACTTGATGTAATTGTCATGCATTCTCTTTGGAAGTTGACATTATCATTTTGATTGTTGACTATTACAAGGAATAATTTTGGTTAAATAATAGCTATTCTTTAAACCTTATAAAGATAAAATGCGATAATGGGTAAGTCTGCTAGTATACTTGCTGAGCATTTAATTCCGGAGATTTTATCAGCTCTGGAAACAGGTCTCTTGTACTTCTGTGCTTTGAGAAGGGCCTTTGATGGAAATCTGTAGGCAACTAGGGGAGACTTGTGCCCAAATTTCCTCAAGTGGGCGTGAGCTTCTATAAAACTAGTCCAGGCATGTCTAAACAATTTATAGCATTTGCTTTTCTGTTTATTTTGCTGATTTTTTTTATCCAGATGTTTTGACACCCTCCTTCACCATTTCTCTTCTGAACTGGCAACTTGTTTGTGGCAATTTGGTATTACCGTGTCTCTGTACACGTAGTATGTGTAGTCTTTTAACATCATGAATTATAATTAGGTAGTTAACCTTTTTGAAAAAGAGGTCTTTGTCTCCTTAGTTTTCCTTTTAAAAATGCCCATATATCTTATCTTTGCTTTCTAAATGTCTTTCCTTGATTTCATTAAGAGGGATAATATGATTCTAGAGAACCTGACTTGTTAAGTGTTCTAAATCTATATTGCTTTTCTTTTTTTTTGCTAATCCTTACCCGAGGATATTTTTCCATTGATTATTTTTAGAGATAATGGGAGGGAGGGGGAGAGACTGAGAGAAACACCCGATGTCAGAAAGACATCGATTGATTGCCTCCTGCAGGCACCCAGGCGGGGGCTGGGGATTGAGCTTGCAGCCAAGGTACATGCCCTTGACCAGAATCGAACCCGGGACCCTTCAGTCTGTGGGCTGACACTGTATCCACTGAACAAACCAGCCAGGACTGTATTGCCTTTCTTTATGTTCCCAGAGATATGGACAGCATATTTCTGCTTAAGAATAAAATAACATTATTGTTTTTTTTAAATGTTATGATTAATGAGAAATATTGTTAAATACTATGACTAATAATTTATGTACTTTGCTCCTAAGTACATTCTTTCCCCATTGCATTGATATTCTTTGCTGCTCCAAGACCCTGACTTTAGTAAAAGGTTGTTACTTGATTGCAGTTTCCACATGTGCATACTTATTAAATACGCTAATGGAGACTTTTTAACTTTTCGAAACTTAGTTAATTTTCGTAGATCTGTCATTGTCATAAAATGTACACATTTCTATTGCAGCTGGCAAATTTCAGCAGTTTAAATTAGCCATATTCCAAGAAAGGAGATTTTTAATAATAATGAGAGAGTGGAAGGAATAGTGAATTTTGAAATAGAGATTTTTAATTTGGGTTAGAATCATGGAAACTCAAAGTGTATACTGTAGTTTATTTTGAGATACTCAGGATTAGAAGGTGCCATCTGGGTAGGAGGCAAGAGAGATCATGGATAAAATGGAAGAGGGATTGGAACATATTGAGCCTTTACTGAAGGAAACAGAATAGAGTCTATCAGTCATTTAATAAGAAGGGGAAAAGAAAACGGAAAGACTGGGGAACTGGAATTATATTGGGGCTGTGGTAGTGTGATCCATTACTTCATTGCACCTTTACTTGATGCATTATTTTGTGCAGGTAATTTACCTATAGAGGGAGAGAAAATATTCTCAGAGGGGATTCATGAATATAGTCTAAGGCTATATGAAGTGAGGTCCTAAATTCAAGGGCCTACAGAAGCAGGCAAGTAACATGAGTACAGGCAGCAGGCTGAGTGGGGGCTGAGGTGGCCTGGAGAAGGCAGGCGTGGCTGCCAGGGACACTACACTTTCAGCACTAAGTAGCTGTTGTTGCCCAGGTAGGACCATGTGCCAAGTGTTGCCAAATTGTCCTTTTATCAAAAGAAGCCACTGCCCTAACCAGTGTGGCTCACAGTTGATTGGAGCGTCATCTTGTGCACCGTAGGGTGGTGGGTTGGATTCCCAGTCAGGGCACACACCCAGGTTGTGGGTTTAATCCTTCTTGGGGGCCGTTGGGTGGCAATCCACCGATGTTCCTCCCTCACATCAATGTTTCTCTCTCCCTCTCCATTCCTCTCAAAAAAAAAGAAAGAAAAATAAGAGAGAGAAGCCATGAGTATCTTGATTTGTTGATGACTAATTCATTTTAAAAAATGAAAGCAAAACAAAACGGTGTATATTCCAAGCAGAGCATATCTGTGGCTGCATGCCCTACAGGCTGTCTGCAACCTCTGCTGCGAGGAATCATTGGCTCAACTCTTCAAGTATTAGTAGTTGGTCAGAAGGTACACTTTTCCCCCCAGAAGGTACACTTTTATTTATTTTTGTCACATGGTAACTCCGAGTTATTCCTAGAGTTCCTTGATATTTTAGCTAGTTCTAGAGATGTGTTAAGGACTCTTTATTTCATAATTTTTTTATATGTAATTTGGATGAAAGACTAGTTTGGATGGAAAGTAGACATTTGCTCAGGTTCTTCGCTGGTGGAATTTTGTCTATGCATGATTATCAAGAGTGTTTAAGTGTAAGTGTGCCTGAGGGAAGGGGTCTGGACTAGGTGACCTTTGATGTCCATATCAGCCATGTGATTTTTAGATTTAATTAGTCATGGATGCAGTGCTATTAATATTCAAGGGCCAGAGGGACCGCAGTTGGCCCTGTGCCAAGCAAAGCCAAGCCAGATCTATAAACCTGTTTTCAGTGGAAGAGCATTGTGTCAGTGGGGACTAACAGAAGGGAAGTCTGCTAGATGAGGCCAAGTCCCGGAGAAGGGTTAGAGAAGTAGAGGAAGGGGTCAGGTGGTGTGGTCCTTTACGTGTCCTAGCGCTGATGTCACGTTTTTAAGTGAGTATGCTTTTTGCTTTTGCTTCAGGTTTGGAGACGTAACTTCTCCGCGCGCGCATCGGATTATGCCCAAGGCTTTTCTACCCAATGATCCTCTTGCAACACGCCGGGCTGCCTCTGCCTAAGCGGCCCTCATCCTCTCCTCCTATGTCAGTGGCCGCCAGGTCTACAGGGACCTTGCAGCATCCACCGCAGAGGCCTTTCGTGCAGGAGGCTTCCTTACCGCTGGCAGGGGAAGAAGAGTTACCAAAGGCAGGGGAGCAGGACCCTACCCTGGAGGATCTGTGTAAGCCCCTTTACTGCAAACTCTGCAATGTCACCTTGAACTCAGCGCAGCAAGCCCAGGCGCATTATCAGGTAAGGGAAGAAAAGAAAATCCGGCATTCAGTGGGCGAGCATTTGAGGGCTGTGCCCACTTCAGAGTTAATCAAGGTGGCTTAGTGAACAACTAAGTATTAGCTTGTTTGACTAAAAGTATAACGTTCCCACTTTGAAAGAAAGCATAGTTTTTTCATAAAATGGGGCCTTAGCCTCCTATACGTAGCAGTGTGGTGTTTGATAGCTTACCTGTTGTAAGCAAATGTGCACCATGCCGTCTCTGTTGGTGAACAAACCTGTGATCCCAGGGAGAACAAGTATTTGTTATCAGTGGTCGGCAAACTGCGGCTCGCGAGGCACATGCGGCTCCTTGGCCCCTTGAGTGTGGCTCTTCCACAAAATACCGGCTCTTCCACAAAATACCGACTTCTGCGCACGGGCCATGAAGTTTTAATCGCACTGTATGTGCGCGCCCACACGTGGTATTTTGTGGAAGAGCCACACTCCAGGGGCCAAAGAGCCGCATGTGGCTCGCGAGCCGCGGTTTGCCGAGCACAGTGTTACATGATGTACCAAACTCAATTTGTGTCAAAATTGCTTGGAAGAATTCATCTTATAAAGACTCCCTTCCAGCTAGTACAATTTGCATTGGTTCAAGCTTATCTCTATGAATCGTATGCTTTTCCCTTTAACCCCTGACTCTTCTTATAAATCCTATCCCTGCTGAGGACAACACAGGTATCATCTGTAGTGAGGATAAAATGACGTTTGAGTATTGAGCCTCACCTTTCATTTATAAGAAGCATACTCTGATTTCCTTTAGCCTGTCAGTGTGAACTGATAATCATTTCTAAGACTTAAAGCTTTCACCTCCGTGTAGCATAGCTAGTGGAAAAGACGGTTTTAAAGGACAAATAGAAAATTAAATTTAGGCTAGAAACACAGGTTACAATATCTCTTTCTATTCTAGATTGTTACCTGTTTAAAATAATACAATTTCCTTTATTGGAGAAAAGAGACCTGAGGCAATTGAGGCCAAATGCCACTGAATGGAAAGATGTCTTCTGGGCCATCACTGATTTGACTGTTTGTTCTCTCCATGAATATTTGCAGTAATAAGTCCATCTGGTAGAAAGATGACTTACACAGGCATTTTTTTCCTGTCGTGCCACTATAACTTTTTCCAACTTCAAGTTTTTTTACTCTGTTTCGTTTACTTCGTTTTGTTTTGATCCTAAAGACTGATGATTGTGTCACCTTGTGACTGCATCACTGTTTTGATGGTGTGTTGTTTTCTCAGGTATAATATGTTGCTTCCCTGGAGTTATTTTTGTTTGGGTTTGTTTTTCCCTCAGGTGCAGAGTGTTGAGTAAATTAGATTTCTCAGATCTCGGCACATGTCATCATTGGTTCATAAAGGCATCTTCTGGTTTTATTATTATAATAGAGGCCCAGTGCACAACATTCATGCACCGGGATGGGGGGAGGTCCCTCAGCCCTGCCTATGCCCTCTCGCAGTCCGGGACCCCTCTGGGGATGTCTGCCAAGGGGTCCTTAGCGTTGCCGTGGAGGTGGGAGAGGCTCCCGCCACCGCCACTGCACTCACCAGCTGTGAGCCCGGCTTCTAGCGCACTGACCACTAGGGGGCAGCTCCCGTGTTGAGCATCTGCCTCCTGGTGGTCAGTGCGCGTCATAGCGACCGGTCGTTCCACCGTTAGGTCGATTTGCATATTAGGGTTTTATTATATAGGACTTTTTCCCCTTGCCCCAATCCCCGCTCTCATTCCCTCTGTGTACCAGTTCCCACCACCTTGATTTGATACAGGGTCTTCCTTTGCCTGTTTTATCATTCAAGTGGAGTCTGTTAGGATGATCCATCTAAAACTTAAAATTCAGTGTTAGTTTTCCTCTTCATTCATTCTGGGGGAATGTTCAGTTTTATAGCCTAAGACTTACTTTGAAAAATCAAACCTGGGTTTTAAACTTTTGAATTTTAGCTGTAAAAGTCCCTACTAAATCATTAACTTGGAAGCAAAACCCAAGTCTTGAAAGAAGACTTGTTCACTTTTATGAGGGAAAACTCTTGGACAGTGTGTAATTTAACCTGTGTGCATGGATTATACCTATACCTCCTGCCTTTTCCCCCCTCCTAATATCATTTTGTATCTCTATAGACAGTAATGGATGCTTCTGGTTATGCATAGAGTTCAGTTTGAGCAGGGTCATTGAATTATAAGGTTTAAAGTTGATAAACAGAATCAGCATTTAATCAGTTTTTTTTAAAAGTAAGTCTGTATTTGTGTAGTGTGCTCTGAACTTTTTAGTTGACAACATTAGTGATTATATGTAATTGCAGCTCTGTCAGTCATACAGTGAATACATAAATTAGAAAACATAAGAAGAAGGAAGTATAATTTTGGTAAATTTCTCAATAATCAGAATTATTAAGTAGAAAAGTTGGAAGAGAAAGGACAGACTATCACAGGGGACAATTTAAGCAGCCAAGAACTAGAGTTAACATAGAGTAAAGAAGTAGCAAGTGGGTCTTAAGAAAGTAGAATCTAATAGAAAATGAAAAGTTTGGGTGTAATACTAGCATGTTTCTAAGAGTGTAGAAGCAAAGATTTGAAAGAAACCAATGTTATTGGTATTTCTTAAAGAGGGAAATATTTTTTAGAGAGACAAGGCGCAAGCAGTTAATATATAAAAGTACAGAGCAATTTCATTAGGAGAGCAGAGAAGAAAGCTAATCTTAGAAGTGAGATCTGGATTTCAATAAGACAGAAATGCTCAAGACGAGAGAATGTGGATCAAAGAGAATCAGAATATTAAACAGAGCATGGGTGAATCAACATAGAAGGAAAGCATAGAAATGTTAGCTGGAAAGATGCGTCAAAGGCTACACAAAGGGTATGACAAACTGGCAGTGATTCTTAAAGGTCCCGTTTAACATTTCTTGTAATACTGGTTTGGTGGTGATGAACTCCTTCAGCTTTTTCTTGTCTGGGAAGCTGTTAATCTGTGCTTTGATTCTAAATGATAGTTTTGGTGGGAAGAGTAATTTTGGTTGTAGGTCCTTGCTTTTCATCACTTTGGATATTTTGTGCCATTCCCTTCTGTCCTGTAAAGTTGCTGCTGAGAAATCAGTTGACAGTCTCCTGAGAGCTCCCTTGTAGGTAACTAACTGCTTTTCTTTTCTTTTTTCTTTTTATTGCTTAAAGTATTACTAAGAGTATTTTCTTTTTGCTGCCCTTAGGATTCTCTCTTTGTCTTTAAACGTTGACATTTTATTTATAGTGTGTCTTGGTGTGGACCTCTTTGAGTTTCTTTTTTTTTTTTTTAATATATTTTATTGATTTTTTACAGAGAGGAAGGGAGAGAGATAGAGAGTTAGAAACATCGATGAGAGAGAAACATCGATCAGCTGCCTCCTGCACACTCCCTACTGGGGATGTGCCCGCAACCCAGGTACATGCCCTTGACCAGAATCGAACCTGGGACCTTTTAGTCCGCAGGCCGACGCTCTATCCACTGAGCCAAACCGGTTTCGGCATGAGTTTCTTGTTTGGGACACTCTGTGCTTCCTGGACTTTTGTGTCTATTTCCTTTACCAAATCAGGGAAGTTTTCTGTCATTATTTTTAAAAATAAGATTTCAATTTCTTGTTGTCTCTATTCTCCTTCTGGTACCCCTTTGATTTGAATGTTGTTACACTTGATGGTGTCCCAGAGGTCACATAAAGTATCTTCATTTTTTGGATTCTTTTTTCTTTTCTTCTTATTGGATGTTTTCTGCTATCTTGCCTTCCAAATATCTGATTTGATCCTCTGCGCCTTCTAATCGGCTGTTGATTCCATCTAATGTATACTTCGTTTCAGTTGTTGTATTCTTCATTTCTGACTAGCTCTTTTAAGAAGCAGAAAAAAAAATATGAATAAGAAAATATCACAAAAAAAAGAATTCTCACTAACAAAGGCCCACACATAATAAAAGCACTTGATTAACCAACACTAAAGCTAGTGCAAAGGTTAAAAGGTCAAAAATGTAGGAAGATAATGTGTAATTACAACAGTAAATTAAGGGATATTCAAAACATACTAGTAGTATACACAAAAGAAGTAAAAAATAATGACAAAAACATAAATATGGAATAAGTAAAAATGGTAGTGATTATGGAATGTATTTGAATTTAACAACCATCAACTTAAAATAGACTGCTATAAGCATAGCATGGTACATATGAATCACATGGTAACCACAAAGCAAACATCCACAAGAGATATACAAGGAATCCAGACACAATACTACTGAAAGCCATCAACATACAAAAGAACAGTGTAAGATAATAGGAGAGGAATAGCGAAGAACCACAGAAACAATTAAAACAGCCTGGCTGGTATGACTCAGTGTTGAGCATCGACCTAGGAACCAAGAGGTCCCTGATTTGATTCCTGGTCAGGGCACATGCCCGGGTTGCAGGCTTAATCCTCAGTAGGGGTCATATATGAGGCAGCCAATCAATATTTCTCTCTCATCGATGTTTCTGTCTCTCTATCCCTCTCCCTTCCTCTCTCTCTAAAATCAATAAAAATGAAAAATAAAAAACAATTAAAACAATAAAATGGCAGTAACTACATACCTATCTATAATTTCTTTATATATAAATGGATTAAATGTTCCAGTCAAAAGACAAATGGATAAAGAAGATGTGGTATATGGAATATTAGCCATGAAAAAGAATCAAGTCTTACTATTTGTGACAACATGGACCTAGAAGGTAAAGGTCAGGGGAAATAAAGTCAGACAGAGAAAGACAAGTACTGTACAATTTCACTTATATGTGGAATCTAAAACAAACAAAACAAAACAAATTCATAGATACAGAGAACAAGCTTATGGTTGCCAGATGGGTGGGCAGGGTTGGGGAGCTGGGTGGTAAAGGTGAAGGGATTAAGAAGTACAAATTGGCAGTTACAAAATAGTCATGGGGATGTTAAGTACAGCATAGAGAACATAATAATATTGTAATAATTATACAT